TCAAGGCTAATCTGGGTAACACAAGGAGACTCATCTCCCAACTCCAAAACGGGGAGGAGAAAAGGTTGGTGCTCAGTAGCCAAGTGCTCATCCAGCAGGCACCTGTGGCTTCAGCTCCAGCACGGAAGGAAGAGAGGGAAGGCAGGGGGTCTGGATAGAAAAAGAGAGGCAAACAATCCAGCATGGGAGGACCTTCTTCCTAGGAGACTCTAAACCATTCTGTCAATAGGATGGGCTGTCAAGAGAACTAGCAAAGACACACAGACTCCCAACAACATAGCTGAGGAACAGGAGGCACAGCCTCTGGCATAAGACAGTGTCCCCAACCTGACACAGGAAACCAGCCTCCAGCTCAGATGCACGGGACAGATACACTCGGCTGGGTGATGAGTCTCACCCAAATAGCAACTAAACTAATGTAAAAAGTGCAATCCAGGCTGGGTGGTGGTGGCACGGTGCCTTTAATTGCAGCACTCGGGAAGCAGAGACAGGTGGATCTTTCTGAGTTCGAGGCCTGCCTGGTCTACACAGTGCGTTTCATGACAGCCTGAGATACACAGTGAGACCCTGTCTCCAAAACAAAACAAACCAAACACAAAACAACAGAAAAACCCTACTTAAAACAGAAAATGAGCTCCGCCTATTAAAGAGTAAGACAAAACAGAGTAGAGAATGAAGGCTGGGATGGAAAGATGGCTTGCTCTTCCAGAGGACCTGGGTTCAGTTCCCAGCACCCACATGGCAGCTTAAACAGCCTGCAATTCCAGTTCTAGGAGATCCAAGGCCCTTGTTAGACTTCACAGACTCCTGTGGGCACGTGGTGCTTATAAATTCACCCAGGCACATGCACATAAACATACAAATACAAAAAGTCTAAAAAAAAAATGAAGGAAAGAGGCAACAAAGAATGGACAAGGGCCAATGATGCAGACGGATCCAGTGAAGCAACAGACCAAGTACAGGCTGGTCTGGACCGTTTCACATGCCACAGGACACCATCAAAATTTGCATCCTCTCAGACTGACAGTAGGTGCCTCCTGCTGGGCTGGACAGCACAACTGACGGAAGTTCACATAGGACATGCAGAAATGTCCTGGCGCTATAGCCTCCAGGACAGGAGGGCATCCCCTACCTATCCCCTACCTATGCGAAGGCAGAATCCTCCCTCAGCTACTCATAAAGCAATGTGCACGATCTCCAGGGAAATTCTGAAACTTTACAACCTTTGAAGGAAAACACAGGGATGGTGGGGCAGATTTCTTCATACAAAATAATGTCATTCCCCAAAATGGAAAGTGTAGCATGAATAATAAAACCCAGAGACAGATACAGGGGTTACAGCTGAAGATCAGAGAAGCAGAGCAGTGAGTCAATAGAGACCTTTTACCAATGCTCAGACCAAAGGGGCGATCCTCAGGCTGCCTAGACTGCACTGTGCCTCCATCAAACCTCAGACTCCACACTAGAGCGAGTTCCTGTCTCTTCCCCTTTATATTTCTCTCTCCGTCCGGCCATATCATTCCTATCTCCACCTCCCTAGTGCTGAGATTAAAAACGTGTAACTCCCAAACACTGGGGCTAAACGTGTGAGTCACCACCACCACCTGGATCTGTTTCTGGATTGGTTTTGTATAGCCCAGGGTAGCCTTGAACTTCAGAGATCTGTCTGCCAGGTCTCCTGAGTTCTAGGATTAAGGGTGTGTGCCACCACTCCCTGGCCTCTAGTGGCTTAGTTTTGCACTCTGATCTTCACGCAAGCTTTAATTATTAAAATACAAATCAAATGAAATTATAGGAAAGGACTGCCAACAGTGCAGCAGGCCTGCAATCCTAGCACTTGGGAACTGAGGCACGGAGAGCGTGAGGTCCAGGCCAGAGTTCTAGCCTAGCTTGGGATATACAGTGAGACCCCAGACTCAAACAACAAACAGGGATAAACCTGGATGAAAACTAAGGCTCTCTGCTCACTGAAAGGCAGTGGCAGGAAGGCTGTTAGACAGCAGTGTCAGCAATGTATTAAGTGAAAAGCTTTAGTGGGCAGAGGAGGAAGTAGAATGCTTATGAACCATTCAGAAAAAAGTCACTAACGCAGGGGAAGGGACACGACAGAAGCCCAAATCACCTCATCCAAGAAGGCAGCAGAACTGTCTCAGGAGACTCTGAGAGAGATGTTCAAGTCACAGGTATTACCTCTAAACACTCACTTGACAAAGGAAAGAAGGGAACACCAGGGAGACAGGTGAAGGTGCGCATGCTGGGTGTGGTCACTGGCAAACTCACAAGCATCAGAAGAACAAGGCTGCCACCCTAAGGAAGGTCAGGTTCCCTCTGCTGAACACCTGGTACCCAGCCCTGCTGCAGCAGCCCCCATGGGCTCTGCTCTAACACTGGAGACCACCACGGGGATGGAGCCCTTGCTTTGCTTCCTGGAGTCTCAGCTGTTGACTGTGCTGAGTGGAGAAGCCGCAGCCCTGACCGCTGAGGCTCCTGTGGACTTCCCTGGGAGATGCGGTTCCTACACGGCTGATCTGTCCAGGGCAGCACATGCTCTGCCTAGGTGTAGGCTGATTCAGAGCTGGGTGTGGAATCCTGCAGCATTTGCCTATTCTCATCCTACCTATGTCACTGTGACCAATCGCAGAAACAATACAACCCCAACACCAAGGCCCCATGCCCTTCAGAGACCCTGGCGATGTGTATGGTCAGTGCTGGGGACTCCCAAGAGTCACACAAATATATGGTCTAATATTCAGCAATTCTCTTCCCTACGCTAGACTATGTCCTAAAGAAACTCTGAGGCACTTGCGGAGATAACATTATGGCTCCCACACGGACATGCAACACCACTGGCGGCTGGGAAAGGCCATCATAGGCCACAAAAGGGACTGCCTCCTACCCACTGGGATGGCTTTACCATAGGCACAGGGCAACAAGCACTGCTGAGAATGCACAAATGTGCTGTGCAATCAGGAAGGCATTCCTTAGAATGCTGAACAAAGACTCAAAGTAGGATCTTGAAATTCTACTTCTGGCATAGGCAAAATGCTTTTAAAAGCAGGGTCTTGAATGAACACTTGCACATTATGTTTTCAGTAATACAACAGCAAACAGTAGGACAACATAAATGTGTACAGACACGGGAGTGGATAGCCAGGGTCCATGGCACAATGGAAGGTCCTTTGGCCTACACTGTAACATGGACAAAGCCAGGAGACACTGTGTTGAGAGAAGCCAGCAACAAGACTCAAGATCCCTAAACAATTAGACAAAGAAGGCAGGATGTAGTGCCAGGATCTAGGAAAGGGGCTGGGCAACCAATCCTTCATAGGTAGCTTTAGTTTGAGAAAGCGGCTCTAGTGGTGGACGGTGGGTACAGTGGCATGCAAGTATGGCTGATCCTGGTACTGAGATATGTGCGCTTACAGGGTTAAGATGGTAGCTTTTTTTTTTTTTTTTTTGGGGGGGTCTCGTCTGTTTGTTTTTAGAGAGAGGGTTTCTCTGTATAACAGTTCTGGCTGTCCTAGAACTTACTTTGCAGACCAGACTGGCCTAAAACTCACAGAGATCCACTTGCCTCTGCCTCCTGAGTGCTGGGAATAAAGGCGCCCGCTACCACCGCCTTGCTAAGATGGCAGTTTTTATATTACATATATCATCATCAGAATTTTTGCATACATACAACGTTTCCATATACAGCACAGGCTGACCTGGAACTGGCTACAATCCCCCTGCCTTAGCCTCCTGATGGCTGGAATGTGTGACATTTTTTAAGATGGGAACTGGTGGAAGAACTAGGGAATGACTTTAGTGGGATTGTCGGTCACCTGACTGCAGGCCTCAAAAGCATGAGAGAGAAACTTGTGAAGCACAATTAATAAAAGCTCAGAGACTGATATTGGGGTTCAACCTGAAGTTCTGAAAAACAAACAGCCAGCCACTGGCTCTTACCTCGGCCTCAGTCTGAAAATGGTGATCCTGCCTCCAGGAATCTCAGAATGAGACTGTGTCTGAGAGACATTTCTTCCCATTTTATAATCCTCTCTAGGGCTGGGATTGAAGGTGTACACCACTGGGATTAAAGGCATGCACCACCCGGTTTCTATGGCAAACTAGTTTCGCTACTGGGATTAAAGGTGTGTTTAGTTATTGTGGCCTGGTCTATAAAGCTAGCCAGTATGGCTGTTTTACTCTCTGAACTTCAGGCAAGTTTTATTTATTAAAATAAAATGAAGCCAGGCGGTGGTGGCGCACACCTTTAATCCCAGCACTCGGGAGGCAGGGGAAGGCGAATCTCTGTGAGTTCGAGACCAGCCTGGTCTATGAGAGCTAGTTCCAGGATAGGCTCCAAAGTCACAGAGAAACCCTGTCTCGAAAAACAAAAAAAAAAAAAAGAAAAAAAAAAGAAAGAAAGAAAGAAAGAAAAAGAAATGCCACTACAATCTTGCCCTAGAGGAATGGCAATGTGGACCCACCTCAAAAATACAACCTGAGGCAAAGCACATGGCCCCCAGGTTATCAACATGGATTCATCATAAATGCCATACTCTGTCATGTAGGAACACAGAAGAGAGAAACCCGAACAGAAAGAGTGAGCAAGAGGTAGAATGGTCAGCTCAGGTGAGGGCCCCAAGTCAGTAACACAGAAGCCCAGGTCTCTGCTGTGCACACCTTTGTGCTGCTTGACGACCTGCAGCCACGTTCCTCCTGCCTGGGTTCCTTGAGTTAAAGTGGCCAGCAGGGGGTGCTAGCAGAAAGGGAAAGGGCCCTGTGTGTCCAGAAAGCTGCTATGGTGGGACAGTTGGCAAGTGAAAGCACCAGCACCACTGCCAACTACAAGTTGCATGCCTGGGAATGGAACTACAGAGGCTGGGGTTCCCAGGTAGGATGGGACCCTGACTGAACACATAAGAATGGAACCACAGGTCTGGGTCACATTGACTCTGAATGTGGATGAATCATGTGTAGAATATGACGTTTTATACAAACCCAGAAGAGCTCACCTGCACATGGCTGTCTACTTCCTCTCCAGAGGGGCTGGAGTGCATAGCCTGCTCCAGTGGTTCTGTGGCAAGCTTCACAGAGTTCTGGATCCGCTCCAGCATCTGCCTCTTGTCGGGGTCTGTTGTCTCACTTAACTTGACTGAAAATGGCTACAACCATAAGAATACACCAAATATGTCAGGCATGGCGCAGAATACTGCTTCCGAAAGCTGACTCAATGGATCAGAGCACTGTGTTCCCCACTGCCCAGACTTTAGCTCCCAATCCAGGCAGATCTGCTGCCCTTCTTCACGTGTGGCTACACAGGATGCTTAACTTTATTGAGCAAGTTGTCCCCCATGCAAAATGGGTACAAAATGTACATCCATCAAGCCCCAACAGCTGGTGGTTACCTCCTATGTCAAAGGTGCCCCAGCTCCCTCAGCTCTCGGTCCTGACAGTTCAAAGAGAGCTATGCTCTAACTTCAGGCCTAATTCCTTCCCAGGGACAATGCCCAGAGCATCCCAGCAGTTGTTATTATAGTTGCTAAGATTGGTGTGTGTGACAGGAATCAGAACGATCCATTCTTACCATAAGTATGATTGTTTAAAAGAAAACTGTTTCCCATTGGCTCTGGGATTTGAACACTTGGTCCCAAGGTGGTGGTGCACGCTTGCAGGAGAAAGTAGGTCACGGGTGTGTGTGTGTGTGTGTGTGTGTGTGTGTGTGTGTGTAAGTCTCTGAGAGCTTGAAGCCACACTCTACCACTCCAGTTTGCTCTCTGTTTTGTTCTTGGGTTTGAGGATGTGAACTCTCAGTTTCCTGCTTCTGCTAACAGGCCTGCTAACTGCTGCCAAGCCTCCCTGTCATGACAGCTCATCCCTTTGGAACCATAAGCCAAAATCAACTTCTCAAGTTGCTCATCATGGTGTTTTAGCACAGCAATAGAAAAATACCTAAGACACTGTAACATGAGAGTTTACACATTAAAAGGAGGCTCACTCAGAATAAAGGTGTGAAACTGGAAAGAACACACTTCCTCAGTGGGGGTTACAAGCACTGTGGGTGCGACAAGAACTTACAGATCAAGTGTCTGCCTTGTGGTCAAAAGTGGGCATCATATTGCTTGTGACCCCAAACATTGAGGACAGAGAGCAGTTCTGTCAGGTACTACCAAGAGGGATGGAGATAGAGCAGATATTTCCCCTAAGCGTCAGGAGCATTACCTACTCCACATCACCTACTCCGTACCCTGCAGGACTCTGTCCTGGAGACTGTCTCATGGGCCTGGCAGGGACGACACCAGCTGTGGCTTTAATACCCTAATGCAACTGGTCTGAGTACTGTCTTGGAAATGACTGCCAGGTCAAACACCATCCCAGACAGGGGCCTGCCTAGGGCCTGAGAGGCACAAGGAGGCAGGATGGTGTCCAGGGCCTACCTTCAGGGCAGCATGGACATCCTTCAGGAGCTGGGCAGCTGGGGGTTTCTGTTCCCGATACTGTTCAAACAGGTAGTTCTGCCGCGCCCGCTTGATGATCTGCCAAGGTGAGAGACTGGTCACGACAGAGTCCACTCCCTCCCATGTGCAGAACATGGCTCACACTGCAACTCTGAGTGATGGTGAAGGGCCATGGGGACAGACACAGGTCCCACACAGTGCGGCACTGTGGGACACTATTACCACCCTCCACCTGTACCTGCAAAGTGGGGCTGAGGTCTGTTAACTTCTGGGTGCCTAAGGACAGGTCACTGAGGCCCCAGCTTCCTCAGCTAGTGAGATACAGAGTAGACCTGCTCCGTAAAAAGCCAGGGATGACGAATTCTTAGCCAGTGATCAGAATGTGCAATGTCTAGTAGCATCTACAGGCCTGTGTGCAAGATCCTCCATCTGCATCACCTGTGGTATCAGCTCACAGCAGGGACCCGAGTCTGTCTGTCCTCCAGCCCATCTGTCCATCCGTGTAGCCCAGGCGTCCTACAACTCCCTATGCCACCCAGATTGGCCCCACACTCACAATCTCACTGACAATCTGCCTCCTAAGTGATGTTCTGCAGCTGTATTTTCTTATCTGAAAGTCCTGCTCCCTCTCATGTCACCTATTCAGACCTGAGTGCTAACTTAGGCACCCCCTTACCTTATCATCAATGTCCGTGATGTTCATGCAATAAAAGACATCGTACTGGAAGTAATCCCTCAGCACTCTCCTCAGGATGTCGAAAGAGATGTAAGACCTACATCAGAGGAAAGCACAGTTCCTCAGTTGGCACACGCTGCCCATGAACTGGACACTCCAGGAAGAACATGCACAGGCTGAGCACCCTAAAACCGGAAACATCCCCAAATCCCAAGTTTTCTGAGCACCCACATGATGCCACAAAAAGAAACTTCCACGCTATGAAATAATGTTTCATGAACAAAACTGTTAAGATGCCATATTTCAGTGTGGGCTCCGTCCCCAAGGCCTCTTGTTCATATGCAAACAGTCCAAAATCGGAAAACCCTGCAATCCTCAGCACTTCCAGCACTTCCTTAGCCTGGGCTAAGGAAACTCAGCTTGTTAGGGGCAGGATCCACAACTTTTACCCCATCAGCCATCAACTCTGAAAAGTCACACCCACAAATATGTGTGTGTGTGTGTGTGTGTGTGTGTGTGTGTGTGTGTGTGTGTGTATGTATGTATGTGGCAGGGAAGGGGTCACAACTTGCTACACCTAAAGTCTGCATGTCGTGGGTCGTGGACACACCACATGTCCACCGGGGCAGGGATAGTGTGGGTGGACTCCAGGAGGACAACCACAAGTTCTGTGTACGTCCCTTTTGCTGTCTTTAATCCTCCAGCAGTGTAGATCCCCAGGCACCAGACCTACCTGGCATGTCCCATGTGAGATGCATCATACACAGTCGGCCCACAGCAGTACCACGTCACCTTCTTCCCATCTTGAGGTATAAATACATCCTTGTTAAAAAACAAGGAATGCCATCACCAGAAACTCAAGAAACTCCACAGCACAGTGAAAGGAGCCACAAACAGCCCGCTAACCGATCGCCCAGGGAGCCGGGCTCTGGCTTTGAATTCACTAGCCTCCTGCCTCCACCTCCCACATACTTAGATGATAGGCCTGAGCTAAACTAGCAAGACCCTCCTGTTTCCTGTGGTACTGATAAAGTCATGGCACAGTCAGTAAGCTGTGTGGTGGGAGCCTGGAGAGGGCATCCTCACCCCCTCCTCCCTGGAGCCTTCCTCCTCCTCAGAGTGGAGAAGGGGCAAAGTTGCTGACATGAGATGCAAGTTACAGGAGCTGCAGCTAACAAGTAGCAGCCTGCCGACGACCTGCTCCAGACAGCCACCTCAGGAGCTTGGCACTGACGCTGTCTTCTCCAGACAGAGTACAAGGCCGTGAGCTTCCTCTCCCACAGGAGCCTGGCTTAGAGGCCAGAGCACCTCGACATTCTCAGACTTCTCTGGGGGTGTGATATCAGTGAGTCACATAAGGAGATGGGCCCTGTCCCAGACCTATCTCCTGCTTGCTAAGCATGTGTACTGACCAAAAACCCAGCCAGGGTGCTGGAGAGATGAGTGCATATTGCTTCAAAGGACCCGAATTCAGTTCCCAGAACCTATGCTGGGGGGCTCACAACCAGCTGTAATTTCAGCTCTAAGGGATCTAAAACCTCTTCGAAACTGTATTCATATGCCCACCCCACCCCATATATATGTAATTAAAAATAAACCATTAAAAAAAACAATAACAAAAACCAAGCCCACAACTGGAGAGCTCTCTGAAATCTGTGCCACCATGGCCATGAGCTAAGCAGAGCAAACCATAATGAGCCTATCAGGTCAAGAGCCAGCACTGGCATCCTGGCACATGTGCTCCAAGCTCCAACACCACCTGGCAGGTTGGCCACTTTGTCTACTCTGCTTGGCTTGGGACAATGTTGATGGCCAGGAGTCTTTCTGAAAGCTGCCAGCACTTGGCTTGGCTGTGATGGTGACCCTGAGCACTCATGACTGGGCAATGCGGGGAGGCCAGCAGGCAGGCTTTCCCAAAGCACTGTACACAAAGTATTTGTGCCCTAGTTTCAGAGCACAGCTCTGTCTGGGCTGCAAAGGTCACGGCACAGCAGTAACAGAAGGTGCAGAGTCCATACCACAGCACAGGAGTAACAGAAGGACCCTGAACCAAGATGAGGGAACATGCCATGTGGTTAACAGGCTATAGTTTGCTCTGCAAGGGCATCTCATCCTTCTTACCTTGTTCCGGGTGAGGCTATTATACAGGCGAAGCTTGCAGGACTCAGTCCCTGCTGGAGGGGACCACTGAGGCTGCACTCGCCGGCCTTTACCTGGAGGCAGAAGAGCAGACAGGTCACACAGCAGGTCACAACTAGCTCTCAACACCTGGGTTGAACAACAGAACTGTACCTTTGAGACAAGTTCTCACTTTGTAGCCCAGGCTTTTCTGCAACTTTCTGTGTAGTTCAGGTTGCCCTTTTTAGGCTCCTCCGGCCTTAGCCTCCCTAGTGCTGGGACTGAAGGCGTGGTTTGTGATTTTCAGTTCACCTTCTGCACAGTGCTGCATCCCAACAAATAAGATGTGGCTGCCGCCAGCTCTCAGGATACTTTGCAAGGTAAGAGTCTGGACAATTTGTGACACACAGGCCACCTCCAAGTCACCAGGTGCAACGAAGGCCAGGGTGAAAATGGTCTCCAGCCCTTCCTTATCTCTGTCCTTGGCGTCACCAAATCTGGTGTGGCCGATAGCCAGACTGACCCTAACCTCTGGATACAAGCCTGTTGCACCTCCACCCCCACCCAGGCTGATCCACACTGGCTTGACAGGCTCCACGGCCCAGCCCCTTTCTCTCAGGCAGCACCTGCTCTCTGGACACTGTATGGCACAGTCCCTCCTTGGCATGTGTCTGAGACCTGTAGGTCCTTTCCTAAAGACAGCTGCCTCTAGTCCCGAGAAAGGCTGCCCTGATCTGCATGCCTGGGAACTCTAAGGTGTCACAAGGGTAATGCTTCAAGCCTCAAAATCTCAGTACAGTAAAGCTGACTGAAGCCCACTGGGAAACCATGTGATCATCCACAGCCTGCTCCTGTGCTCTGTGGGGGCACACCTGTCCTCCTCCTTAGCCCTGCCAAGAGCCAGGCCCTATGCTGCTCCCCTCTGTGGGTCTATGTGTATGGATCACACAGGGCCCCCTCAGTGGGTCTGTGTGTGTGGATCACACAGGACCACCTGTGGCAGACCCTAGTGCACATTTTTGATGCCCAGTCCATCAGCCCCCCTCACCTCTGCAGAGCACAGGGAGGATTTGAGCTGATCTGGTTAGTCCTAGTCAGTCACCTCTGACTCCTATGAGCAACTGCCGATACCTGAGCCTGCTAACCTGTTGATTCCACTTCGAGAGTCAAAGAGAAATTTGTTCTGGGCACAGGCCATTTCCAGGCTCCAATCCTTGCCCAGGTCACACTAGATAGAATAGAGGACACTGGTAACTAACAGGCTAAGGATAACGGGGGGAAAGGGTGGAGACACTGTCCACTGTGTGGGGGCAGATGAGGAAGGTGACAGCAGCCAGCTGCAAGCAGAAGCTCCTTCCTCCCGGTGAGTTCAGGATCCAGTCACAGGTGGCCACAGACTGGGATGGAGGAAAACCTTCCGTCAGACACCAAAGGCAGTCTCAGCTCACTCTGAGCACACCTCAGAGTTTCCCATCCTTATGGAAAAGTCTCACTCTGATGTGATGAAGGGTCTGCATCACTGTCCTTCCTCATAAAACCCAAAAATAAAGGTGCTGCTGCAGGCTCGGGGGGGGGGGGGCACGACACATTGCCAAGGGCTACTACACTGAGAGCTGAAGGTGAGCCCCTGTAAAGTTGGGCCACATTCAGCATTCAGCTCTCCTGAGGGCTACCACAGTCTCACAGTCAGTGACAGGCTTGAAGGCCACCTGGCAGGGACACACTCCAATTTGAAAAGGGGCACAACAGAGCAAGATACACAACAGTGTGCCTCGCACAGGCTCCCTGGGTCAAGACGGCACACACAAGTGAAGTGCTCAGAAACCTCACAACCCAAAGACCATAGCAGCATCAGTGTCTCCAGAGCCTCCTCGGTGCTGTCAGCCTGGAACAGTGTCACATACACACGGGCACACTCCCACTCCAGGTCGGGCACTGTGGTAGCATGTCCATCATGTTCAGAGTGTCCCTGAACCAACAGGTAGCTCTGCAGCACAGACAGCTACACTTTTGAAAATGGGATGCAAGAGGCCGGAGGTCCAGAGATGGAGAAGCTGCTGGGAAGCAACAGACTGCCCCAGGAGCATGAGGTAACACAGGCGGCTTGGGCCCCAGCTGTGGCCACCTGCCTGGGAGGGAGAACTCAGAACCTGAACCTCCTGGCTTCCGGCAGGCCCTTTCCATAGTGACAGTATGTCTGCTGCCTCCAGAGGAACTGGGAGAAGCAAGGGGCCAAATGGGCTGAGCCCCTATTGCAGGTAAGAGGTCCCAAGCAAGCTCAAAGCCCTGGGATGGAGTGGATCACCATGCTGAATCACAGAGGGTGACAAGGTGACGGGAGAAAGGAGGACGGAAGGCTGGTGGGAAGAGGGCTGGCTCCTCTGTAAGGGGACCATGAAGACTGAGAAGAACACAGGAATTTTCCATGTCTGAGAGAACCCTTTGCTGCTAAGGCCTCAGCCTTGAGGAGGGGAGGCTGGTGAAGGCAAGTTAGAGACATCACGACAGAGAGAGCCACACTGAAGCAGAGCTACTATTGATCAAGAGGCATGGTGTGGACACTGGACTCTGAAGCCTGGGCCTGCCAAAGTCAGGTAGCCCAGCTCTAACCTGCCTTCCCCCCCAGCTAAGCTTCTGAACATTTTGCCTAAAAGACATCTGACTTAACACGTTTTTCACAGGCTTACATGGTCCTGATGACCTCATAGGCAGCTGTGTACTAGAGGAAGCAGGGCAATCCTGTTAGTGCTGTCCTTGGTCCATCCTCCACATAAAAGCATTCCTTAGAGAAGCCTCAGGAGATAGCGGCTGACTGGAGTGGGAGATCCTTTCTTCATGGTCATGAGGCCCGAGAAGTAATGTTCACTGGCAAGGACAGTGGTGTGTCTGTTCAGTTCTTCCCAGGACCATATAGGAAGCCTAGATTGGTGGCTGCTGAAACCAGGGCCAGGTCCTTGATCTCACTGGAGTTGGGGCATAGTGTCCAGACAATCTGACTCCCTACGCCTTTTGGAGAAGACACCTGGGACACAGTGTTGGACATAAGGACAGCAGATGTCCAGGGAAGACCACCTATGCTGCCACATCTCCCACCTAGGCTGGAGTATGGTGTTTATTTGGGATAATCCATAAAAGCCAAGACCCCAGGAGACCCTTCCACATGTTCCAAGGTCCCCATCCAAGTCTGCAAAGCCTCAAGGAGGCCACCAGCAGGGACTACCATTAAGTCAGCACTCAGCCCTCTCCACATTAAAGAGGAGAAATGTATTAGAGCCATGAGAAATTGGGGCTCAACAGCCTTAGGCAATTCAGAAGTGAGCACCCACAGACAGGAGGATTTCCAAATGGCCAGATCAAGGTGACAAACTATTTGGGTCCCAAGCTAAAGCCTCTCCAGTAGAGCCTCCCAATCCTAACTACTGTGCCCAGGGACACCAGCAGCACCCACAGGCATGGCTGACGTCATCTTAAACCACAGACAGGAGACTTATGTCTGCTTTTTGAAAGGTTCATTGTCAATGAATGCAGCTCTAATATCTAGTGATGTCACACTTGAAGAGAAACAAATGTAACCTATGGGACTAAAGACAGGAACCAAGAGTCACTACTAGCAAAGCATTAACTGAACCCCAGGCAGGCCTGTAGCAGCATGCAGTATGGCCCTGAAGTGGTTCCTGGTGACATGATAATGGCTCTGAGCCCTGCCATTCTGGATACGCAATATAACCCTACCAGACCCAGCAAGCATGGCTTCTGCCCCACGGGAATACTTCTGACTGAAATATGGAGGTGAGCCTCCAGCAGGATACCCACTGTCCTGTAGCAACGCATGCCCTTGACCTTGGAGCAGAGGTTCACTGCTGTTACTCACTTGCTTGGAGCCTGCAGGGCTCGCCTCTGCCTTGGGGGCCACCCAGGAGCGCTTCTATGTGTCTGAACCACCGAGTCACGTGGAAGAACCTCGAATCATCAGTAGGGGCTGAGAGCTGACTGAACACGTCCACATCTGCCTGGGACAGGGAGTACCCCTGGACATAGCTACGCGTGCTGAGGTGCTGGTCCAGGGCCTGCACCCTGGCTGCCTCGTCACTAATGCTCAGAATGGACCTGTAGTCGGCAGCTGCAAAGACAGAGGGTATAGGACATCAGGCCAGAGGTCAGGCAATACATGACATCAGGCAGCAGGAGTAGACAGAAGGGCACATGATGTCAGGCAAGCGGGTAGGAGAGATGCAACATCAGGCAAGCAGGCAGGGGGTATGGGAAAAAGGAAAAGGTCACAGAACACCAGGCATGTGCACAGAAGGCTGCCCAAGAACAGGAGCTAGAGAGTGTGCGTATCAAAGCCCTTTCCTGCATGTCAGACATCCCAAAGAGGAAGGACCACAGGGTAGCCATGAAGATCTGTGGCTGGCAGGAGGAAGGCAGGATGACAGTAGAGCAGGTCAGATGTCCTCCTGGGACTAATGGAAAGGTTTTGGATGCACAATGAGGTGGTCCGCAGTGTCCTGAGGGCTCTAACTGCCAGGGATTGTGTACTTTAAAATGACTAACTCTGGGTAGGACACGGTGATGTACACCTTTAATCCCAGCAGAGGCAGAGGCAGGTAAATCTCTTAGCAAGTATAAAGCTCTTGGTTTGATTGCCAGCACCACAAAATAAACAAATTAATTAAGGAAATGGTTACTTTTCTGTTATGGAGAGGGTAGGCGCTGCAGAGCCCAGAGCACGTGACATCACCATGCATAAGCCTGCAGACGCTGAAACAAACACGGCTTCTAGAAGTGAGATGTCACATCCCCAAGTTGTCCAAGCCCTCTCGAGAGTGCTCAGGGCTGCTAGAAGGAACCGCTCTGAGGACACCTGACCCCTTCACTGAGGCACCCACTACAAAGGGTACAACAGTCATGACTTCCACCACCCACAACTCTGAGAGTGTGGAGGACTCCAGAGTAAGGTTCTGCATGGGTTACCAGGAGGACAGAAATCTAAGCTATGCTGACTTACAGCATCCTGAAAATTAAAAAATACCAACTGCCCGAGACCACAGTTATGTTAGGTATGGGCTGATTAGACCCGTACCATCGAGATGTCTTATTTAAGGGGAACGTATGGATGATAAAACATTAATATGGCCCTGAAGTAAGAACCAGATGCCTGGTTGAACATTTACCCCATACCCTGGCTAATTTTATGTCAACTTGGTGTAAGCTAGTCATTTGGGGAAAGGGAACCTCAGTTGGGAACATCTGCCACTGGACCAGCCTATGAACAAACTTGTAGTACATTTTCTTATTTAGTGATTGAGAGTCAACCCATTTTAGTGGTGCCACCCCTGGGCAGGAAGTCCTGGGGTATGTAAGAAAGCAAGATGAGCAGCCAGCAGGTGAGGGACCTGCCTGCAGGCTGAACCACCATTGTCACCACCCACTGGATTCTGTTCCCTCAAGATCTACTCTGCCACCCAACCCCACCCACCTCCTTCCTGTGGCCTGCCCTTTCCAGCAACTCCAGCAGACTCCATAGACACAGGTACAGCCCACACCAGTTCAAAGAACAGACTCTATAGGCACAGATACAGCCCACATCAGTCAGAAGAACAAGAGGATAGGCTGGATCTAGAACCCAAAAAACTTAGCTGAGACATCCTACTAGACCTGAAGGCCTGCCAATCACCAGAACCCTTACCCATTCAGGTCGTAAGACAATGAAAGAGATAGATAACAAAGGAACAAAACACCTATCCAACAAAGGCAAACACAAGAATCGATACCCAGACCTATAATCAATGAGTGAACAGCTGTGTAAGAATACCTTCAGTAGGGATGGAGAGGTGGCTCAGAGGTTAAGAGTATTTTGCCTGCTCTTCCAAAGGTCCTGAGTTCAATTCCCAGCAACCACATGTGCTCACAACCATCTGTTATGAGATCTGGTGCCCTCTTCTGGCCTGCAGGCACACACGCAGACAGAATATTGTATACATAACAAATAAATAAATATTAAAAAAAAATACCTTCAGTAACAGAAAGGGGAATACGGCACCAAGAGAACCCCGTGATCTATGACAGCAATACGTTCCATTTCAGCCAAAGCACAAGAAAACGATCTTCAAAACAACTTTATGAAGAAAATAGAGGCCCTTAAAAAGGAAATGAAAAATTTCCTTAAAGAAATTGAGGAAAAGACAAACAAAAAAACTGGAAGAAATCAATAAATCCCTTAAAGAAACCCAAGGAAAAAACAATCAAACAGGTGAAGGAAATGGCTCAAGACTTGAAAATTGAAATAAAAACAATAAAAACACAAACTGAGGGAATTCAAGAAATGGAAAATCTGGATAAGCGAACAGGAACTACAGATGCAAGCATCACCACAGAATACAAGAGATGGAAAAGAGAATCTTTTGTTGAAGACATGGTAGAGGAAATAGATTTATCAGTCAAAGAAAATGTTAAATTCAAAAGATTCCTAACACATACATCCAGGACAGCATGAAAAGACCAAACTCAG